AGGGAGTTAGCTAACGTGAGTGGACATCTCCACCCCACATGAAAAACTGAGGCAAGGGGACCCCGGAAGTCTACTCCCAGTACAGTCAACAAGTAAACAAAGGCTCCGGAACTTTTGACATGAGATCCTGGACAGTGAAGGACCCGTGCTGAGCAGAGGGCAGAGCAGGTGGAGACAGGCAGGGGAGAGAGATTCAGAGCCTCTGTGCACTCGGGTGAAGAGCAGGCACAAAAGCCCAGCTTTAATCACATTCTGATGAAGCAGTTTGTCCCCAAAGGAGATGCTGCCATTCATAGTTACTGCTTCCATCCTTCCGGCTAACGTAGTCTGTTAACAGATCGTTTGGCCAGAGGCTGAGTGGAGCCTCCCCAAGATGGAGCTCTATGGGACAGCAGCAGGGCTGGTTGCAACTTGTCCCCTCCTGGAGCCCTGCGGCCCTGCCAAGCGACATGGCTCCTGTGTGGGTAGTGTGACTGAGTGGATTTGACTCTGCTGGTTTGCCTCCCATTACCAAGAGGCCTGAGAGCATAAAAGCCAGAGAAGACGGCAGTAAGGTGGCCTGATTCGTGACTGGGGAGCAAAGGGAAGAGGAGGAGGCGTAGGACTGCAGACATGTTCTCCCTGTTCAGTGGCTTAGCTTTCCTGGCTGTTTCCTTCCTGGTCCTGAAGCTTGCCACCTTCTACTGGAAAAGGAGCCACCTTCCTCCTGGTCCCTTCCCTCTCCCCGTCCTGGGGAATCTATGGCAGCTAAACTTTCAGTTGCACCCAGAGACGCTCTTCCAGGTATGGAGCAGGACCTCAAGCATGAGGCCCGAAAGGGATAGACAGGAGACCTTTGTCTTCTCAGCCTAGGGACACTGGAGGTAGAAGCAAGAATTAGGGCCAAATGTGAGAAGGAGGAGATCCTGGTCTTGTCACTGTCAGTGCTGAAGCCTTGAGCCTCTGTGTCCTCACCTGCCAAAAGCAGGGGCATTACCGAGCTTGTAAAAATAAAGACGTGCAGGAAGTGGGCTGGGAGAATGGGGAGCTCAGGCACAGGAGAAGCCCATCCAAGAAACTCTGGCTATTTACGGCATGTACAATACTAGAACACACCCGTTCCCAGGACTGGTGGGGTGTGAGTGCTGACCCCCCCGACTCCAGGGAGTCTGTCACCCTTGGCTGGTTCCTGAGGAGCGGGTAAGTGTTCTGGGGAGGTATCCTGGAAGTTGAGTGTTGGGTGCAGGAAGGCAGGGATTGCTGCCAAGAGGGCGATTCAGCAAGTGAGGCCTGTGCTGCCCGGTCTCTCCACAGCTGGCTCAGACTCATGGCAGCGTGTTCACCGTGTGGTTGGGCTCCACACCCGTTGTAGTGCTGAGCGGCTTCCAGGTGGTGAAGGAAGCACTGGTCTCCAACTCAGAACAGTTCTCAGGGAGGCCTCTCACCCCATTCTTCCGAGACCTGTTTGGAGAAAAAGGTGAGTCTGCCCTTCCAGGGACAGAGGGAGGGGCAGGCTGTATGGAAGGGCGCAGGGCTGAAGCTGTACGTCACTGTACAGCATTCAAGAGGGCTGTTACCAGGGAGATGTACTCAAACCCTCTGTGTGAAGGGCGATGTTTTTTTTTTTTTGCCTTTTATTTATTTATTTATTTATTTTTAAATATAATTTTTTTATTGAAAAAAAAAGATTTCCGCCTCCTCCCCCCCTCCCATTTCCCCCCCCCCCCCCCCTTTCCTTCCTCCCCCCACTCTTCTCCCCCTCCCTCTCCAGTCTGAAGGGCGGTCAGGGTTCCCTGCCTTGTGGAAAGTCCAAAGTCCTCCCTGCTCCATTCTGGTCTAGGAAGGTGAACATCCAAACTGGCTAAGCTCCCACAAAGCCAGGACATGAAGTAGGATCATTGTCCTTGGCTTCTCAGCAGCCCTCATTGTCCGCCACATTCAGAGAGTCCGGTTTTATCCCATGCTTTTTCAGTCGCAGTCCAGCTGGCCTTGGTGAGCTCACAATAGATCAGCCCCACTGTCTCCGTGGGTGGGTGCACCCCTAGTGGTCCTGACTTCTTTGCTCATATTTTCCCTCCTTCTGCTCCTCCTTGGGACATTGGGAGCTCAGTCCGGTGCTCCAGTGTGGGTCTCTGTCTCTATCTCCATCCATCTCCAGATGAAGGTTCTATGGTGATATGCAAGATATTCATCAGTATGGCTATAGGATAGGGTCATTTCAGGTTCTCTGTCCTCAGCTGCCCCAGGAACTAACTGGGGACATCGCCCTGGGCACCTGGGAGCACCAAATCTCTTGCCAACCCTAAGATGGCTCCCTTAATTAAGATGTGTGCTTCCCTGCTCCCCTATCCGACCTTCCTTTATCCCAAACATCCCGTTTCCCAAGTTCCCCCCAACCTCCCCTTCTCACTTTTCTCTCCCCATCTCCCCTTACCTCCCTCCCCCCCCCCCCCCAAGATCCCATTTTTTGCCCGGCAATCTTGTCTACTTCCCATAATCAGGAGGATAGCTATATGTTTTTCTTTGGGATCACCTTCTTATTTAGCTTCTTTAGGAGATCAAATTATAGACTCACTGACCTTTATTTATCTCTAGAAACCAATTATGAGTGAGTACATCCCAAGTTCATCTTTTTGGGTCTGGGTTACCTCACTCAGGATAGTGTGTTCTATTTCCATCCATTTGCATGCAAAATTCGAGAAGTCATTGTTTTTTACCGCTGAGTAGTATTCTAATGTGTATATATTCCACACTTTCTTCATCCATTCTTCCATTGAAGGACATCTAGGTTGTTTCCAGGTTCTGGCTATTACAAATAATGCTGCTATGAACATAGTTGAACAAATGCCCCTGTCATATGATCGGGCCTCTCTTGGGTATATTCCCAAGAGTGGCATTGCTGGGTCCAGGGGTAGGTTGATCCCGAATTTCCTGAGAAACCGGAAGGGCGATGTTAAACAGGCCTGCGTCCGAGCCCAGCTTAGCTCCTCCCTGGCTTCATGGCCTTGAGTGCACCGCTTCCTGCTCAGACCCTGGGTGTGTTTGCTCATCATAGTTAGGAAACTGTTCTCCTTCCCCGGGTGTTGGAGAATATGCCATCCAGAATACCCGAAAGAGCCCATGACTGTGCCATCTCAGAAAGGGCCTTGTCCCTCCTGTCCTCCCCTTACGCCTCTTTGTCTCTTTCCTCCTTTATTTCCTCCTTCTCTTCTGTGGGGACTTGGGCAGAACAGACTGGAGAGCTGGGGACAGACATATCGGAGCCCACTCTCAGAGCCCTAGACTCACTGGCTACCACCCCACAATCCCCCTCTTCTGTTGGTCAGAGCAGCAGCCCCACGCAGCTTGAGAAGGTTATTTGAGGGTCTGCTCTCAAGGTCTGGTGGAGTTGCCTAAGGGATGGGAGTGGGGCTGGTGACTATTCTCTCTCCCTGGGCCCAGGAGTTATCTGCAGCAATGGGCAGACATGGCGGCAACAGAGGCGCTTTTGTCTGAAGACTCTTCGAGAGCTGGGGCTTGGCAAGCAGGTGCTGGAGTTGCAGCTGCAGCGTGAGGCAGCAGAACTGGCTAAAGTGTTCAACCAGGAGCAGGGTATGAGCAAATGGGCCTATCCTTGTGTGCCCCCACAGTCATGCACACTGTTGCAGAGGCTTGTGTGTGTGTGTGTGTGTATGGTATGTGTGTGTGCATACGTGTGGTGTGTATATGTATGTGTGTATGTTGTATTCCTGAAGCCTAAGAACATTACTAGTGGATTTGACTATAAGTTTTCCCAAGGTGAGTGGACACAGACCTAAGAATACTTAAGTAAGCCTAACAGTGGTGGCACACGCCTTTAATCCCAGTGCTCAGGAGGCAGAGTCAGGTGGATCTCTATGAATTCAAGGTCGGCCTGGTCTACAAAGTGAGTTTCAGGATAGCCAGGGCTGTTACAGAGAAACCATGTCTCAAAGAATGCCTACGTAAGTAGAAAAGTAGATGTATTCTCCGTCAACACCTAGGGCCGTTCATCCTGGCAGCCTTGTTGCACATGTTGATTTTCCTTCCGGACTTTCATAAGCCACAACCCTTCCTTCCCTGTGCATAACCAATACTCACCCTGCCAGGCCTCAAAAGACTTAAGTTCTCCCTGAAATCTGGGTGGTGGCATGCGCCTTTCATCCCAGCACCCGGGAGGCAGAGGCAGGCGGATCTCTTGAGTTTGAGGCCAACCTGGTCTACACAGTGAGTTCCAGGACAGCCAGGGCTGCACAGAAAAACCCTGTCTTGGGGGGAGAAAAACTGTCCCTGAGTCCTAGGCACAGCTAGTTCCCATCCCACCTTTTTCCCAGCAGTGACAGGCCTGCCCCTTATTAAGAATCTAATCAGCCTCTCACAGCGTCTTTCATAGAGCAGGGCCCACAGAAGGTATTGGGGAGCACCTGACAGGCGCTTGAAGGAGGAACGAGAATGAATTGAGTAAAGAAACGGAAGTGTTTGAGGCTGGATGAATGCTGAGGCAGAGCCCTCTGTGCTTCTTCACACTGAGCCCTGCCCCTCTCCTCACAGGTAGACCCTTTGACCCTCAGGTCCCTATTGTCCGATCTACAACGAGAGTCATCGGGGCCCTGGTGTTTGGCCATCACTTTCTCTCGGAGGAGCCCATCTTCCTGGAACTAATTCAAGCCATCAACCTTGGCCTAGCCTTTGCCAGCACTATTTGGCGCCGGGTAATTGGCTTTGGGGGAGGCTGGTATGCAGGCCATGGGAATGTCTGGATCCAGGCCAGGCAGGAGCCTCAGCCAGGGTCTGGCTGGGAGGGTAAACATAGGCAGGAGGCATGGCAGGGTCTGACTCTGGGTTCCTCAGGCTCTCGTTTCTGTCTAGACAATTTGGGGCTCTCCACATAAAAGGCAGCCCTGAGCTTTTAAGTCAGAAGCCTAGCCCATTTTGGAGCTGTCAGTACAGTGCTCAGCTGTCCTGACACGGGACTGGTGCCTGAGTAGGCCCTGAGTGGACCATTCTCTCTGTAGCTATACGACATGTTTCCCTGGGCCCTCTGCTACCTCTCGGGGCCCCACCAGAAGATATTTCAGTACTGTGAGGCTGTGAGGGGCTTCATCCGCCATGAAATCATCAGACACAAGCTCAGGGCCCCAGAGGCCCCCAAGGACTTCCTCAGCTGCTACCTGTCACAGATCACCAAGGTTAGCCTGGAGCACAGGGACTGAGGGGCTGGGCTCCTGGTTTGTCCCTCCTTTCTCAGCCATAAGCTCTGTTTCTCATGTTTGATTTGTGCAAACTTTTGGGGATCTTGAAACTTGGGTTAAGAAAGGGTCTTTCCAGAGCAGAGCTGGCTTCTCTGCAGATGAGACGCCATGAAGCAGAGGGTGTAGCTGGAGGGGGCAGAACTCCACCACAGTCTTCTGCTGAAGCCTATCTAGTCCCAGGACTCAGACTGTCCAAGGGGTCCCACCCTCAAGAAGCTCTGGTCCTATAAGTATTGGGACACAGCAGACCTTAGAAAGATGCCAGGGCTGCTCCTTCTCCAACCCCACCAGACCATGGATGACCCCGTCTCCACGTTCAATGAGGAGAACCTGATCCAAGTGGTGATTGACCTGTTTCTGGGAGGCACCGACACCACGGCCACCACACTGAGCTGGGCACTCGTATACCTGGTCCATCACAGAGCCATCCAGGGTAGGGTGCCCTCAGTTATGTCCCGCCTAACTTCCCTAGTCTGTTAGTCCCAATGGGGGGGCTTTTGGCTTCAGGCATCATGCCCCCGTCACTCTGTTCTGTGGCCATGGGGGAGGGTCCCGTTCTCATCTCTGTGGCACAGGGATCAGGCACCATGCCCCCCCCCCCATCACTCCGTTCTGTGGTCAAGGGGGAGGGTTCTGTTCTCATCCCTTGTCGTACTGAGATCATTGACAGATCTGACACAGAGTCAGATGTGAGGGATTTCAGTCGCCAGCTGCGTGACCGTGGGAGCTCATTCTATCTCTCAGAATTGTTGTAACTGGGGAAGCATTGCTCCACTCACTCAGTAATGATTCAGCGCCCACTAAGTTCCAGGCTCTGGGCTAACCTTAAAATTATAGTTGTGAGGAACGAACGTAGCTGGAGTTCTCCAAGGAACAAACCAAGCTATAATCAGCTATGAGGGCAAAAGTACCTGCCCTGTGGAGCCTTGGTTTCATCACATGTCAAATGAAGACAACGGTTCCTAGGCTGTGGGACTTACATCCGGGGCCTCTCCCACGGAACAGCTGGTGGTGGGGTGGGGGTGTGACCTAGGGCTGTGGATTTGAGCAGCTCTCTCTGGGTGGAACACCAGATGGAGGTGTGCAGTGGGAAGGGGAGGGAGGCTGGGCCTCGGGCGCCTTCCCAAGATCCTCACTGAGCCATCCACAGAGAGAGTGCAGCAGGAGCTGGACGAGGTGCTGGGTGCTTCGCAGGCCATCAGCTATGAGGATCGAGAGCGACTGCCCTACACCCGCGCTGTCCTCCACGAGGTGCAGCGACTTAGCAGCGTTGTGGCTGTGGGCGCTGTGCGTCAGTGTGTGACTTCCACCCGGATACATGGCTACTATGTGCCCAAGGTAAGTAGTCTGCAATGGGCCCAGCACCTGCAGAAAGCCCGCCTGCCCAGCACAGTCACTTGCTACAGCTTCTGTTACCCTGACAACTGGCAGTCACTCGGTCACGGGTAGCATTTGGGATATAACTACGATAGGATGCCGTCATTGATAATCTTGAAGTTTCCTGTGGTTCAGGGGTAATTTTTCTTTCCAGTGCTTGTGGTCCACACATATTTTATGTAGTTCTATCCTGTGCAGGGCCCTAGGTTTAATAACCAACCACATCAAATAAACCAACCAATAAAAGTTAGTAGTACATACCTGAAACTCAGGAAACAGAGGCAGGAACATCAGGAGTTCAAGGTCATTTTCAGTTACATAGTCAGGGCCAGGCTAGACTACGTGAGATCCTGTCTCAAAAACACAACTAGGGACTGGAGTGATGGTTCTGTGCATCTTGATCTTGCACAGTGAGGGAAAGTCAAGGCATCGGGAACCCGAGAGAACTAGTGCATTCTACCCAATCAGGACCAGAGAATAATGAACCAATCAAAGTTAGTGCCCAGCTTGCTTTTTCTACCCTTACACAGGCCGGGGTCCCTTGCCTAGGAAATGGTGCTACCTTACCCACTGTGAGTCGGTCTAGCCACCTCAGTTAGTATAACCAGAAAAATCCCCCACAGCCAAGCTTGAGGCCCAGCTACCAGGCGATTCTAGATTTTGGTGAGTTGACAGTTACCACTATCAACACGCTGATTCAATAACTGAGGGACACTAACAGCAATGGGTCCACCACAGTGGACACACGAGGTGTCTCTGCTCAGACAGTCTGCGTGACAGTAAACTTCAAACTGCCATTTACCCAGGACAGGCTAGAACAGTCCTCAGGAGGCAGATGGGTCTGGAACCTGGGGGAAAGACATGCTGGTCTTTTATGTGTGGATATGGGGTGTTCTGACCCAGCTCCACCAACCAAGATCAGTCCGTGCTTTGCATGGCACCACATACAATTTGGGATGGGATCTATGAGAGACCATAGCCTCTTTGCAGATGTCTCCTTCACCCGAAGGAGGTTCTTAGGAACCGTTGAGCTGGGCTAGAGAGATGACTCAGCTGTTAAAGGCTTAGGCCCACAATCCAAAGGACAAGCACTGATGACTTGGCTGAGGTGTGGCTTGGAGGTAGAGTACATGTGCATGAAACCTTAGGTGTATTTCCCAGTACCACAGGGGAGGGAGCGGGGGTCATAATGCATCTGGCTATCTATTTCAGGCAAAGACCTGGGACATTCCCAGAACTGTAATGGGAGATGTGCAGCTCACCCCGGTACTGGTGGAAGCATGTGCCTCCCCATCACCACTATGTAAAGCCACAGGGTGGCCCAGATGGCTAGAGCCTGGCCTGTGCCCTCAGCCCAGGTAGTGCAGCAATCTCAGCAATAGCGCACATCTACTGGAAATCGTTGCATGGCTCCCCTTCTGTGTTCTGCATCAGTTTTTGCTTGGGATGCAGACCTCAAATTCTTTAGAAGTGTTTGTTTTGCTTTGGTTTTAAACTTAAAGCTCTCTTTGTCAAAACCAAGTCAGTCTCTTGGTGCCCATGGATACTGGCCTAGTTCTATGAAATTGTTAAAGCACTCACAGGGTAGGAAGCCTTCACCAGAATCCTGAAAGCTGAGTATCCGAAGACTTAGGGCCATAACTAACCCTCATTCTTCTTTACTTGGACCTTTTCATTGCCTCCCTTCTCGCTCCTCCCACCCTCCTTCCTTGCTGTGCCAGGACTCCAGGGTTAAACTCAGGCCCTTGTGCTAGGCAAGCGCTGGGCCACTGAGCTATGTCCCTAGCTGCTAATGGTGTTTCTCCTTAGCCCAGGGCTGGCCTGGGAAGGACTGGAGGTTCCTGGGGCTGAGGCCTTTGGCCCTTTCTGCTCCCATTGGCTCAGTGTGATTCTCTTTTCAGTCACACATTCACTTCACTCGTGAGACCGAGTGGGCACTAGGGTTAGGGCTGCAGGGTAGGTAAGGCTTAGAAGTAGGGCTATCTATGGTGAGTGTCAAGGTGAGGACATATTCATGGTCGCCCCAGACAAGTTTCCATCTCTGGCTCGACATTTTCTCTTTCCAACACTTGATCTTTCTCCCCCTCTCCCCCTACCTTTTCATTCTCTCCACTCTTCCCTTCCCCCATTGTGGGCTGCCATGAATCCAGAGGAATGAGACCAGCTCCATATTGGCTGTGTGTCTGGAGGGAGGGCCACTGAGGGCCTGCCTGCTAGATCTCCCTGGGTCCTCGGCACCCTGGCCACCCCTACCCATACACTGGAATTACTTTAGCCCCAGGCCAAAGCTGGGAAGTGGTCAGTCTGAGCCCCCATGAGCTACACCAGTTCTTCTCTGCAGGGTACCATCATCTTGCCTAATTTGGCCTCTGTGCTGGGAGACCCCGAGTGCTGGGAGACCCCTCAGCAATTCAACCCTGGCCACTTCCTCGACAAGGATGGAAACTTTGTGACCAATGAGGCCTTCCTGCCCTTCTCTGCAGGTATTAAGCACAGAGCTGGGGCTTGGAGTGGTAGGTGGGAACATAATTGGGACAGAAACAGTCCCCAGCTGCCCTCTGACCTTTCCCTCTGTTTCCAGGGCATCGGGTGTGTCCTGGAGAGCAGCTTGCTCGAATGGAGCTCTTCCTGATGTTTGCCACCCTCCTCAGGACTTTCCAGTTTCAGCTACCAGAAGGGAGCCAGGGCCTCAGACTGGAATATGTCTTTGGGGGGACACTGCAGCCTCAACCCCAGAAGATTTGCGCAGTGCTTCGCCTGAGCAGCCTCCCTAGGGAGGAGGGCCCGTAGTCACTAGGAGTAAGCAGACCTGCCACTTCAGCCGCCAACAACGCTCTCAGCCCTGCAAAATCAGACAACAGGAAGAAGTGGGTTTTCACCTAGCTTAGCTGCCCACAGTCTCACACTGATCTGATGATAATCCCAGCAAATGGACTTGGCAGGGGTCCAGCACCAGTCACTAACTGGGCCTGAGGGTTCAGTTCTTAGAGTAAGATAATTCTGTTTTGGCAGAGGAGGATTTTGTAGCATTTGGTAAGGCCCGACACTGAATCAGTTCACATAGATCATTTGGAGGAAGTCAAGTGGCTCAATGTAGCCAAGTAGATTCAAAGGGAAAGACTTTCCCATAATACTATAAATAGTAGTGCAGGAAAATGCTGGGGAGTGGTAACTGGTGGGGGTGGAATGGGGCAGGGTGTGGGGGGCACAGAGTGGTCTTTGTCTTCTTCCTGCTCTCTTTAGACTAGAAGGAAGAAGTACCTACATATGTTGTCTAGATAACTGTTCCCATCAAACTGTCCATCAAAGACACTGGATCGACTTTCCTTGAAACAACCCCAGTGCTTTGAAATATTGTCTCCAAACAAATCTCATTAAAAAGAATTACTTGCATTAAATGGATATTAAAATAAAAATGAGAACCCCCACAACACACCTGCTAGAATTGCTAAAAACAAAACTCTGACAATCCTAGGAACTAGAATGCAAAGAACTAAAAGCATTGCTGGTGATGACTGCAGCGCCCACACTGCTGGGACTGCTGCGGCGCCCACACTGCTGGTGTGAGTGCTGCAGCGCCCACACTGCTGGTGTGACTGCTGCAGCGCCCACACTGCTGGTGTGACTGCTGCAGCGCTCACACTGCTGGGACTGCTGCAGCGCTCACACTGCTGGGACTGCTGCGGCGCCCACACTGCTGGGACTGCTGCGGCGCCCACACTGCTGGGACTGCTGCGGCGCCCACACTGCTGGTGAACTGTCAAATGGCAAAATTGTGGTGGAAAGGAATTTGGCTGTTCTTTGAGGGGAAAAAAAAAGCATTGCACCACAATGCTGACCATCCCAGGCCTTAGCATTTTTATCGACTGGCACTAAAAATACGTTTGGATAAGTGTGAATTGTTTGATTCCATTTCTATCTACTTTTTTAAAAAGTAAAACAAATAATTTTAAAAAGGATAAGTGGTTGCCAAGGTGGTTTGGGAGTAGGGTTGACTATTAAACAATAAATGAGTGGAGGCTGGAGAGATAAATTAGTGGTTAAGAGTACTGTATGACAGAGAAAGACAGTACTGAGGTTCCTTCATCTTGTAATCTTGCTGAGACCATTTCAGGTTTGGCTCGAATTTGATCTCCTTGATGGAGAATGCCCTGGAAAATTATCAAGCTCTATTCTGAGGCCCCGAGTTAACTCGTTTTTGTTTTGATAAACTGCCTGCTTCAGCAGAACCCCTTCCAGCTAACTGCTTATCTTAGCTGCTGTCAAACTACTCGCTTCTGCAAACTTCCCCTGAGGAGGTTTTTGCTTTCAACAACCGGTGCTCTGGACACTCAGGGCTACACCTGCATCCCTGAATACCTGAGTGTAGTCCCAGCCAGCTGGAATAAAGACTTTCTGTTGTCTATAAACTGTGTCTGAGTGGTCTTCTCTGATGGACTCCTCATATCAACTGATCTTCTCAGGGGACCCAGGCTCGATTCCCAGCACTCACGTGGTGGCTCACAAGCACCTGTAACTCCAGTTCCAGGGACTCTGATATCCTTTTCTGACCTCCAGCACCAAGCATGCACATGGTGCAGACATGCATGCAGGCAAACTTATACATAAAATAAATAAACATAAAATAATTTTTAAATGAGGGAATTTTCAGGATGATGGGAATGTACTGGCAAGACACTGGGGGTGTGGGAGGAGCACGCTGTTTTCTGTTCTTTCTTGACCCCTTCTGACCAGAGGGCATATATCTTTTGATTTTTCTTTTTGTTTTTTTTTATTTTTCTTTCTTTTTTTTCCTTCCTTCCTTCCTTCCTTCCTTCCTTCCTTCCTTCCTTCCTTCCTTCCTTCCTTCCTTCCTTTCTGAGAGATTTATTTGGGAAGGAGGAATCCAGGAGAGTGGCTGCCTCTGCCAGGGAGGGATTAAGGGCAGCTCCCTTTTTGGTTTTTCAAGACAGGGTTTCCCTGTGTAGCCCTGGCTGTCCTGGAACTCTCTGGAGACCTGGCTGGCCTCAAATTCAAGAGATCTGCCTACCTCTGCCTGCCAAGTGCTGGAATTAAAGCTGTGTGCCACAATGTTCCATCCAGAGGGTATATATCTTTTAAACAACAAACAAACTAACTTTGGGGCGGCAATATCTCACCCCTCTTTTCACGTTCTTTAAAAGATGTGAGGGTCGGGGTGTAGCTCAGTGGCAGAATACTTGTCTGGCATGTGCTAGATTCTCATTTCTATTCTTAGCACTGCAATAAATAAAATATAAAAGATGCCGCTGTTGTAAGGTGCTGTTGTCAGAACCAAACTTCTGGCATCTGTATGAGATCACTTGTGCCTACTTTCCAGAGTCCATCTGAGCACATGGTTGACCAGATTTCAACTTTACATTGTAAGCAACAGAGCAGGGAAAATCACGCCATGGTGGTGGTGGGGTTCACTGTGAGACTGGACATGGCCAGGACTGTTTGCAAAAGAACTGAAAATAGTGGGATGGGGGAACTTACAGTTACATGGAGAACAATCGGATGTTTAGGAGGAGGGAAGCCTGTGAACTGCCTGTACTTCTGACTCTTGGGAGGCAGAGGCAGGAGATTTCTGTAAGGAGGCTAGCCTGGTTTAAACAGTTAGTACCAGGCCAGCCAGGGCCACACAGTGAGACCCTCACTACAAAATAAGAACATCAAATTAATAAAATTGTAATGTCTTCTTGAAGAACTGATCACTTCAACAGCATGGTTAACTTCTTATCTCTTCTGACAAAATTTGAAGTCTTGGGAAAGGTGACACTTGCTTGTCTCCTACACCCATTTACTTGGACCCTTCCCATCTTTGACCTGAAGGTCATGTGTCCTTGATGGTGAGGTACATTTCCTGGAGGCAACACATGGAGGGATTCTGGTTTGGTTTCATAGTTTCAAAGTGTCTTTTGATTGGGAAACTCAACCATTAATATTCAGTTGTGCATAGGGCAACAGTAGGATAGCCAGGAAGAGTTCCAGTGAGGGCCCAGCATCGACAGCGTGGACTAAACCAGAGGCCTCGAGCCAGACCAATGACTCATGGCGATGGACACTGGCAAGTGAAACTAGATGAACCAAAGGGTTTACTATGTGTCTCACTGTGTCACACTCCAGCTTCCGTGACGAGATTGATTTTTGCTTTCTTTTTCTTTTTTTCTCTTAAATTTTATTTTACTTTATTCGGGGGAAGGTTGCGAGGGCAGAAGGGTGGGTGGATATGAAGGGATGGGGAAATGAATGGGATGGAGATACATGATGTGAAAGACACAAAGATCGTTAAAAAGGAGGAAAAAACATTCAGTTCTGATTGGCAGGTGCTGCTGTTTTGCTGTGTTGATGTTTCCTTGGTCTTTCCATCCCCTATGGTTCTAACATGCTTTTCATCCTGCAGTTTCTGGGGTGTGTTTTTCTTGCTAGAGTTGGCTTCATCATCATCATGAATTCCTTCAGCCTGTTTTTATCAGGAGAAGTTTCTCCTTCCTTCCATCACAACAGACAGTTTTGGGTGTGGTCGTCTGACATGGCAGATTTTCTTTAGGGAGTGAAAGCCATCATTCTGTGCCTTCTTGGCTTGTAAAAACTCTGCTGAGAAACCCGTGATTGTGAAGGGCCTTCCCTCATGTGTGATGCGATGCTTCTTTTCTGCAGTTTCAAATATGCTCCCTCTGTTTTGTACACTTAGGGTTTTAGCTAAAATGTGAGATGAGGAGAGTTTTTACGGTTTCGTGTTTACTGTAAATGCCTCCTCCACATGGATGGCCATAACCTCCTGTAGATTCGGAAAGCTTTCTGCTATGATTTTAAAATGTTTTCTAATTCATTTTAATATGAAGTTCTCCTGCTTCTGTGCCCAGAGTTTGTAGGTTTTGGCCCTTTACATAATCCCATATATCTCTGATTCTGAGTTCTTACATTCTTATCCACTTGTCACTGACTGCTACCACCCCTTCCCTTGCCTTCAAACCCGGATACTCAGCCCTCCTCTTGGTACAGTCTATCGCTGGGGCTGTGTGCAGAGCTTTGTAACTTGACTTCTTGAACTTTCCATTTCCAATATTTCAGTGAGGGTTTTCTGTGGTATTCCCTCTCGTTAAATACCCTTTATTTATTCATTGACAATTTCATACAGTGTATCTTCATTCTATCTAATAGGCCCCTCCTCCCCTGCATAAGTTTCTCCACTGATGCAGTAAGCCAGATCAAGCCAAATTGAAAAAGTATAACAACAGGTATCTTGAACAAAGAGACTCCTAGTCATGCTCTCGGGTCCCAGAGACGGCGGACAGACAAGTCATGTGTACCTAGGCCAGGGTAGGGAAGTTTTATAGACTGTAGGTGAGGGGTGATGGTGTGCCCACTGTCAGGAGTCTTTGTACCGCCAGCTCCCAAATGACATGGAGCCTTACAAATTATGAAAGCTCAGCCTTAGCTTAGGCTTCTCCTGCTAGCTCTTATAACTTAAATTAACCCATTTATTTTAGTCTGCATTCTGTTGTGTGGCTCGTTGCCTCATCTCTCCATACTGTTCCTGCTGCTTCCTCCAAGTCTGGCTGGTGACTCTGCCTTCTGCTTCCCAGAGTTCTTTCTCTCTCTGCCCAGAACTCCCAACTTCTGCCTAGCTGCTGGCCATTCAGCTTTTATTATACTAATCACAGCAATACATTTTCACACCGTATACAACAACAGTTCACCACAAGCTGATTTGTGCCCAAGTGTAGTCAAAAGCTGAGTGATTAGGTGGGTACTAGGGCAAGTGGCAACTTCTTTAGGGGAGGAAGCTGCAACAGCCACCAAGAGTGCAGAACTGGACTTTTAGGCCACTTTCCCTTGGAGACTTTGAGTGGTTGGGGTTTAGAGGGGGAGATAGGGCTTTCAGGACCATGCAGGGGCAAGCTGGAGTCTCCAACTGAACACTATCCGTCCACGACTCCTCCCTCCCAGTCTCCCCAGAAGCTTCTTAGAACACCCCCTTACCTACCCATCTTCTTGTTTTTTGTAACCCACTGGGTCTAGTTAGTGCTGCTTGCTGGAATGTTGGCTGAGCTTGTTCATACCATCTGTGGCAGCGGTCACAGCTGAGGTGAGTCCATGACCACCAGAGCTATGACATGTCCAATAGGTAGCATTTATGAGCC